CCCGTGGCCTTGGTGTTATCAGCACCGCACTCTCCCAAGTGAGCCACAGGCCGGCCCAGGATTCACATTTTTAAAAACCAAAAATGGTGAATACATGCTGTTTTATAAACTTATGGTTTCATGCACTGTGGAGACATCCCTTTATCAATAAACACAGATCTTACTCATCTTCAGTCTCTCTTTTCCCTGTAACTCAAATGGCCACAGAAGACAGGATTTACCCACAACTCTGCCCAGACAGACCCTGAAAGACGTAAGGACACAACTCAGTGGCACATGGGATAGGAAGGGGTGGAACCAGGGGAGATTTGAGGGCTTTCTAGTTCAGGGAGGAAAGCGTATTGGGATTTAAGGCTTCCAAACAAGAAAGAAGAAGGAAATTTGTATTCCACTTTTTCACCCTGAAGCTTTCTCGTACAGCTTTATCCTTCCATCCTGGACTTGGTTTTGTGGATACAGTTATTTCTTTTGAGATGAGAAGTGGACTTCAAAGACATACTTACACATGGTAAGCACCAGAAAACCTATTTTCCCACTGGATTTGTGCTTCAAAAAGCATAAACGCCTTCTCTGAACAAATCAAAACCCTAAATGTTTTCAAGCTTATATCCTTGGAGTGGGTCAGCCAGAGTTTATTCTCATAAAGTATTACCACATCACCACTAAACAAGCTTAAAAAAAAAAATCTCAAACGCTTCCAGCAACAGTGTTTTCCCCTCATTTCTGTAAGAAAACTAAGAATATCCAAAATGGCAGCCAAGGCATCACAGAAAAACTACCAGACTTCTCTGTTCCCCTTCCTTCTCCACGGGACCACCCACAGCTCGCTCTGAAGCCCGTCTGCAGAGTAAGCAGAAGGAGTATCAAACTCTTGGATGAGTCTGTTAAAGAACGGACAAAACGGATGAGTTTTTGACAGCTGTCAGGATGCTAGGAGTAGAACAGGGGAGCCTCCTAAAGGAACTATTTCCCCCACAGAAGTGACGCTCCCAATGGACGACCATGGCAGGTGGAAGGGGCCCAGCATTCCCATAGCTCACATGGCAGATTAGGCTCCGACCAGTACAATCCATCCCACCTATGGCAGCAAAACCCAGGAAGTGGAACTAGTAAGGAGCCACAACCAAAAAGGAACCAGAAATAAGTCCCCATAACAAGGACACGCGTACAAATGATCAGGAAAAAAAATATCCAGAAGGAATTTTAAATCCCATGACAAAATTTGTAAATAAAACTCTTCGATGTGTTTTTTCTT